ATCGCATAATGTTAATAAAACTCTCCGTAGGACAGAATTTCCATCCATATAATAAATTGGCACAATATGACTATATGTTAATGCAAGTGTTTGGAATTGTTGGTCTAATTAATTTAAGACCATTTTAACTACCTTTTGCATATTGTGTGCTCATTTAGGGTATCTCGTACATATTCCCAAGTCTCTGTTACAATGGCTTTAGAAAAAAAAGTTGACTTATTCATAAAATCATAATTGTTAATGAAATGTGTGAATGTAATCAAATCAGAAAATATAAAAAGTTGTAGAAGTCCGTAAGCAAGAACTACTATGCTGTCAGATGGAAAACAGTTGATCACGGCTACTGGCGGATTCAAATCTCTGACTTACTTACTTTTACTATGCAATGTTGTTTGATAAATTTAAAGATTCGATTATCAAATACAGTTCTTTTATTACACCAAAATAGTGCACCAGCTGCTCATGTTTCGACAATTATCATATCAATATGTATAAAACTAGTTTGAAGTTTTACCTTCAATTTTATTCATCATATCACATTAACTGCTACTAGACCACTACTCTTCTCGGTTATTGGTTAGAATATTCCCGAAGTAAGGCATGCCTGTCGTGAAAGGCGATTAAAATATATTAGTATTAAGTGTGTTCATGGTAGCAAATGCATTTTCACTTGCGACATCTTACCAGAGATAAAACCGAGTACCACTGGATCCGGACCCCCATAACTTCGGTTGTCCTGAACACTGAGTTAGTTTTGTAAGGGGGTGTTCTTATGCATTTGGTTAACACTTAAAGTTGTGGTAAAAATGTGTTAGCATTTATGCTTTCGCTCGATGTGGTGTTGCATTTCATCAACCCTATGCTGTGACTCAAATAACAACAGAGATATAGGTGGCTCTCAATCGTTGAAAGAGAAGAGTTTATAATCAAACATTTAAATTCAATTGCCAAGAGTTTATTATCGGGAGTTTATCGGCGCATATTCTCAATACGTGTGTTCAGAGCATCGTGTTAAGCCTGCATGGTAGTTAATTATGTAAAACAACAAGGACTAATGTCACTAGACTATTTCTTTTTAAAGTTTAAGTTTGGAAAAATAGTGTCAAATAAACAGATTCATAATATTAAGAATTCTCCTGATGAAGGCAAAAGCGAATTTGTCGAAATACGTATAGGAATATACTAAAAATAATGATCGAAATAAAATTAAAAAATTCTGAAAAAACGAAACCGACTTTAAGATTCCATTTGTCGTAAAAGCTTTTTATTGTACATTTTGTAGAGATTATGTGGAAAAATAAACTAAATGTATTAAAAATTAAAGACTTTCATATGATATAAACTTGTAGTGGGATAAAAAATTAAACATAGTGTTAGAAAAAGTGAATTAAGTTTAAAGGAGATTATGTCGAATAATAAATTAAAAAACCAAAAATGCATATTTTTGTGTTGACTTTTTTAAAACCTTCCGCAGTTTTGCATTGTGGTATTTATATATTTCAAATATATTTAATTTAGAAAACTTAAAATTTTTTTATAAATATTGTACAATGACTTATTGATTATTTTTTTAATATAAATATAACTTGATAACTATATTTATTTACTGTAGTTATTTAAAATTAAAATTATTGATATGATTTTATTAATTATTAAGTGTTTTTAAAGTATCAAGGAATATCTTTTGTGTATGACTTAAACTAAAAATTAAAAAATTAATACATATTGACACATTTGTTATAATAATTGAGTAACATAATTTTATGTGTTTTATATATATAATTTTTTTATTTGATATAAACGTGTCCCATTTCAATTAACAATCTCAGTTTTATTTCAATTCAGACACACACAGACACAATATTTTCATCTCTTCGGTTATACACTTTGAAAATGTGTTGAAAAAAATAAAAGACTTAAGCAACAAACTTTTTACTTTTTTATTTACTTCGGCGCGCTTTTCGTGCTGATTTTATTTGCTTGTCAGCGCTGTTTGTGATGATGATAGCTGCTGGCAATCTTCAATGCTTAAGCTATACACTCAGATTTGAAGACAGTGCAAAACAGCTATTTAAAAAAAACATGTTATAAAGAATCATATATTTAACTATAAATATATGTATATGTATAAATACGTATAAATGACTACGACTAAGAAGAAGCAACACAATTACTAGTCACTTGCAACGTACCTACCGTTAAGAAATCTGGTTTTTTTATTTTTTTTACTGCAAATTAAAAAAAAGAATAACCAAAACGTATAGAAGTGTAAGTTACCACTTGCCATCATCATATAAATGTACTCAACACACTAAAGATACTTAGTTTTTGTATCTATGTTTGTGTATCTCGTAGATTCTTACTATTTGTACTGTTCATATATTTACTTGAATGCACTTGATGCGTTTGCGTGTTATACTTTAATAATGTATTATCAAGTATGTATGCAGCAGGTATTTGGTTAACTGAAAAATTTATTTCATTTCTACCGGTTATGATAATCGTTCTATGTTGCAAATAGCTTGATGTAGATGCGGCAACTATTCCTATATGGGCATAAATATTACATATTGCTGTGCTTTTGTAATGGCAATTGTTTTATAGTATCAGCAATTATTATATCAGCGAAGCATATGAGGGCGTATGAGCGTATGAGTAACATAGTTACATTGAGGTGCATAAAGAATGCGATAATGTAGTGATTGATTGTTTATGTAGACATTATTGTTGTGGGCAGAAATGTGTACGTAGCATATAGAACATCATTTAAACGTTAGTTATGCTCAAGAAAACTAAAAAAATGGTGTTTAATTACCTTAAAATGCAACTGTATTGGTTATAAAAATTGCAAGCATATATTGCAGATTATGAATGAGTCATTTTAAAAGACATTTTTGAGAAAGTTTATACATAAGAAATTTAGAAAGTTTTGCATTAAACCATAGACAGATGTTTTAAGATAAAAATATTTGCTATAACATTTACGATTTTGTAGGATTGGTCATGTAATAAGAATCGATGATAATAATCTAGCGAAAAAGGTATTTGAAGTGGCGGGCGGAAAAAGAGATAGACCCTGTCTATCTGGAGTGGAGTGCTTAGGATGAGGGAACATTTGTTGTATGAAACTGGAAACATGTGTCCCAATAACTTCTGATCAAAAATGTAATCACTTTAACAAAACTCTGTTAGCAAAAATTATAGCAAAAAGATGAAGACTTGCTTTTACAGATTCAGAAATTAAATCATAAGTACATTATGTAAGATAAAGAAAAAAAGTGATTTCTGTTGATAAAAAATCGCATATTTAATGGGATGTATGCGTATTAATCAATAAATAATGTTTTTTAATGAGAAAACAGTAGGTAGTTTGCCTCAAAGTTAAAAAAAAAAACAGTGACTGGTTTATATATGAAAACTTCATTAACAAAAAATTATTTATAGTATACATATAAGATAAGAAATTAATATCGGAAAACTCAAATCAAAATTGCGCAAAAACTTAAAAACAAAATATGTTTCATATTAAAAATCAAATTAAGTAATATTTAAAAAAACATTTTCAAATTATTTAATATTTTTTGATTGAAAGTTGTTTTGAATAAACTTTTATTTGTGATGCAGTTACTGTGTGAATATTGAAATTAGATTCCCACGCGATTGTTGGAAAACAGTGTATATAAATATATATTAAGCAAAATCATTTTTCTTTTGTTTTTTGTTTTTGTTGTTAGAAATATTTTCAAACTTCAACTTTAACGAATATAATATGAATTTTTTTAGTTTTTTTTTTTATTTAAGTGTATTGAAAAATTAGATGCAAAGCAACTGTTTTATTTACATTTATGTTATTAAATGTAAGATAAATAGTTATTTATAATAATATAAATTATGTTATTAAACATCTATAACTATCATTAAATAAAATTTTAAAATTTTACATAATCTGTTGATAGTGTTTTTCTTGTGCTTGTTTAATATTAAAATTAAATTATTTTTGTAAAAATTTTAGACATCCCAAATTTAGGGACTCTTAAATCAATAAAAATAAACTCCATTTAGTTTACTTTGGTGCCTCATAGGGCAACATAACGGATCCTTAGGCAGTCTACGTGGCAGCTGTCATAGATTTACACTTAAAGTTAACCTAATCAAGTTCACCATCTCAAATCAATTAGGTTTATAAATTTACCAGATACATATATTTTTAAGAAAAAGCTAAAATACAACAAATTATTAACATTTTTGAAACTCTACGAAATAATTAGTTTTTTGTTTTGCACGTTTGATTAATGATTGTGTTGTGTCCGTCATTCAAGTTCATATTAAACATAAAAAATTATGGATTTTTGAGTATTTTAATTTCTACATTGTTAAATGTTGTATTAAATGGGCATTTAAGTTTACAAATAAATCAATTGTTCAATATCTTATTATATTATACAAAACAAAATATAAAAATAAAAATTTTTTTTACAGAACTATGGAAGAATGGTACGAACATTGGCACTGTATCTGTAATTAGGCCACACCTGCATATTTATTAAAGCTGCTCAGAAATACTTGAACAAAGATTACTAATAAAATACGACATACCACAAATGTGATTTGGCAGCCTGGTAAGTGCACGAGAGGTTGGAAACCACAAAAAGTGGCTTTGGTATTTCTTGTTATTTTGAAAAATATTTGCAATAGCAAATACATACACATTTGCAAACACTATATTCATATGAATATAATTCAGATATTCGAAAAAAAGTTTAAATAAATTGAGCACAAGATACAAGTATGTTGAATTAAAGATAAATATTTGTGCACAGCTGAGGAATCAACGATTGGTCGGTCGGTTGCTGTGCATAAATATTTTCATTTTAATTATATTTTACATGAACATTTTTTACAAGTAATAAATTGAAATTGACATGAAAAAATTCAACATCCAACATCTAACATCTATAAACTGCAGTTATTAATAGTTGAAATTCATTCTAAATACTTACCATTCGGACAAGAAAATGCATCTTCCGCAGCCGCCGCGCCAATATAATTAAAAGTTATGAGCGATGAAATAGCGGACAGCCAAATTAAAATGGCCGCCGTAAAACTAAACATTTTGAGTTCTAAATCCGTAACTTTATGCTATATAATGCCAGCTTTGTATAGGAAGAAGAAACTAAATAATTATGAAAAATTTGAACCAATAAACCGGTAAGTATCTGCAAAGACAGAAAAATAAAAAAAATTTGCATTAAATAAACATGAAATATTTGTTTTTTATGAATATAAATTTGGCTAAGTTTTATGAAATACATATAAAGTAGGTACAATGTTACCAACATTTTACCAAAAAGTCATAAAGTCTACAGGTCCGGTAAGGCTACAAATACAAAAAACTTAATGTTTCTGCTTAAGTTATTTGAATAATGCCGCCCCAAAAACAAACAAAATCTCAAATATTTTTATATTAATTATTTTTTTTTTTATAACTGGTTTCAGTGAGTCACGACATTTAATGAATAACGAAAAATTATAAATAAATGATTATCTATAATTTTTTTCTATTTACTGACGCTATACAGGAAACACCGCTCAAAAAGCCTGTACGAACAAAATCTACTTACGAGAAGTGTTCCAATTTTAGAGGAAGTTAATTGTTAGTATATTATATAGAATTAAAAAATTAAAATATGTATAATATTTTCAAAACTTCTCTTTCGTAACTAAATATACTCGAAAAATTTGTTATATCGAAATATTGCATGCAAGTTATGATAAACTTTAAAAAAAGTTGCGCAGTTGGTTTGACTTCGCGAAATAATCAATAATAGTACCATATATACCTAAGACTAATAAAGTAAAAAGAATGGAAGTAGCAGCAGACAAGTTGTCTTAAATGCTAAGTAATACTTGCTTCAAGTTCAGTTCTAAATGATCTGCTTAATGAATTACCTTGACATTGTTGATATCATATTTGCTGTGAGATCATATGTACAGTACAAATCAAAAAATCATGTTTTGAAAGTGAAGAAGACTAAATAAGTTATAATGTATTTATCATATATGTATGTACTCAAAAGTTTATAAATTTTCGATGGATTCGAATAGTAAAGAAAAGACAAGGACAAAAACTTATTTAATTTATTGAAATTTGGCTGACCATACAACGCTGTTTTGAGTACTCATCATCAGTGGTTTTAGGAAATAATCGAATTTCTCGTCGAGAAATTGACGTTTATAAATTTTATTCATAAAGTAAAAACAATATTTGCAAAATTCACCGACTTTTATTTTATTTTTTTGTTTAAAAACTGATTGTTTACTATTAATTTTGGTAATATTAGTCTTATATTATTGTTATTATTAACTTTATAAGTTTCAACATTGTGCATAATCATAGAAAAAGAAATAAATAAATTGTAACAATATATTTAGCAATGGTAGAAATAAGAAAAATTTTTTTTTTTATAAATAAAAAATTTAAAGTCTGAGATACATAATCGACAAGTAATCAGATTAACTACAGATATTTTATTACAACACAAATTCCAATTTTAAAATTTATACTAAATTTTCGATTTGTAATTTTTTTATTCTTCACATATGGATGAAAGCTTTTGCATCTTAGGAGAGCATTTTGTAGGATAAACTGAAAGCATGGGACATGTAAGAAAATGATCATTCTGCAGTAGAACATAAAGTACCCGCTAACTTGCAGTGGTAGAGACACATTGTTCTACAGTGACCTCTAGTGTTGGCGTAAAGTATTCCGCAGGTCCAAGGTTAGCTATAGAAACTACCAAGTGATAATATGTTAAAAAAAAACATTTTTCGTAAATTATTCGAAATTGTTCAGTTTCATACACATACTATTATATGAATCATTTCTTTATCTACTTAGAGTCATGGTTAACGCTCAAGGTGGATATCAGCTGTTTAAGGAAACACCAGAACAAAGTAACATATAATTTCATAAGAAAACATTGATATTAAAGTGCAAGTGATCATAAAAGAGTCAAATAAAAATTTGTAGAAAGAAACAAAAGATTTTCTTGTTAATTATACTTTTGCAAAGGCAGTTTGAAATCAACAAACAGCTGTGCAATAGCAAAAACTTGAGCTAAATAAGCAGTTAATGGGGAAAAAAGTGTGCCGTGTGAATAGTTTTTTGTATTTGAAAACTATATCTATAAACTTTCGAATAACAATAAAAATAATAAATAATTTGGCAGTTTCATTAACATCAATGACTTTTTCTACACTATATAATATGTATATAAAATATTAAAATAATATACATAATAATATAAATAATATGTATATCAATATAAATAATATAAATATTAATACAAATGATATATTATATAGAGAATATAATATTTTTCTATTACGTTTATTTTTTATTTTTTTTATTTAAAATTATAAATACTAAATCACAATATATACAAAATAATAAATTTTATTATAAAAACTTATACTTAATATAAAAAATTACTTAAAGCAAATGCTTTGTTTATTCCCTTTTGTTTATAAAAAATGACAATCTTCCAATAAGGTCTATGAAATTAATTTAATTTATGAATTGCATATGCGAAATTATATCTGCGTGTAATGTCAGTAATGTAAATTAAAATACTGCATATTATGACAATTTTTATGTATAAGTTTCTCTTCAATGTAAATAAAAAACATGTTAATTAATTTAAGATATAAAATATAATTTTGCAGACTTGTAATTTCACTTGGCTTAATAAGTAACGAAAATGAACTTTTATTTTTATGTTAGACATTATTAGAGAAGACTAATCTTTAGACAAAGTAAAAGTCAGTTTTGATTTGTATACCTTTAAAAGTGGTAAAAAAAGTTTGATGGTTCACATCAAACGTAACTAAAACTAGACACGAGAAATTTATACGTCTAAGTTGGGTTGGGCATACAGTTCGAGAGTGAAGGAATACAAGAAGGCACAAGCGAAGCCTTTTTGGAAAACGTATAAGCAAACGATAGTGGCTTTAGAGGTAAAGCTTGTTGTCACATGGGGCCGTGAAAATGGAGAAAAATTGTCAAACACCATGGTCACTGAAGACAGGCAATACTATTTCGAAAAGAAATGTAAACATAAGTTGTTTTCGATGTTAAATTATATAAAATACCACCAGTGAACACAAAAACTTCAAGTGGTTCTGTTCCTACAAGTAATGTAATATTAGAATAATTTGGATATTGAAATTTGTAAACTACAAACAAACAAAAATTGTATATTAAAAATATTTTTTTAAAAGACTTATAGAAAGAATTATTGCTCATAACTTGTGTTACAGTAAGTTTGAATATATGAAGGAGTTTGGAATAATTATAAAAAGATTGTTATAAACTTATAATAATCAAAAACCTTAAAAAACTAATGCCATGTGAAATAGTTTCATTGATAAAAAAAAAAATAAATTAACGCAACTGAGTGAAAGGTCTAAATTCCATATAAAATTAATTTATTCAACAATCGAATGCAGTTGCAAAGTTTATAGTGCAACTGTTGCTTTATTTTTTGTATATGTTTAAGTTTTGCAACTTAAATTTATTGTAAATTGTGTTTTAGATTAATTTCAATACAAATTAAATTACGTGTACATATGTGTATATAGGCAAGTGCCTAAATATTGACACTTTCTTGTACAATAACTGGACTAAATGCATTCACATCAGCAAACAAAAAAAAAATGCAATAATATCATAATTTCCATATTTATTATTATATTTAAAAAAAAGTATTGAGGTATGTAAACTGATCTCATACTCAATATGGGTACGGTCAGATACATTTATGCTAAAACCGGAAAAGTTATAGCCAAATCGAGTGATTTCACAGCCAAACCCGTTTACGCTCACCTTAACAACCTTGCGAATTGTCTACGCTTACAAAATTTAACAATGAAATACTAAGATAAAAACTGAAACTTCAACTCCGTAAAATTCACAATTTATAAAATGTTACGCTATTTGCTGTTGTCAATTTCAAATGTTTAAGTTTTAATTTACAGATTGTAAATAATTTTCCTTATATCTTAAACAGTTGTAGTTAACAGTGACACTTATGGAAATTAAGCTTGCAGAAAGAAATTAAGCCAATAAAGTAAAATCAAATCTCTTCCGTTTTTGGTACGAAATTAACCACTTCAATTGGATTTCCTTTTTTCCTGGTGATGATGTGGTACTGTACATTTAATGTGATTTTTTTATACAATATTTTAAACTATATTATATAAAATTTAGTGCCAGTTGCAGATTTCTATTAAATCAAACAATTATTTACTGATTATTTATTTACTTATTGGTTATTTATTTATTTATTGAACAATTTATTGGTATAAATACATCTTTTTTTGCTGCTAAAAGTAAATAATTGACTTAAAATTACATTATAAAAGTCACAGCTTTAAGATCTCATATAATCCTAAAAACAATGATGACTTTTGATAAGCTCCTAACTATTATTATTTTTTAAACCATAGGTATATGTTCATTACAATATGCTCTTCAATTATTGAAACATTTGGTTTAGAAAAGGGGTCTTCCTCTAGCACCAAAATGGATTCATACTTAAAACAAAAATTTTATCCACTTTCCCACTATTATCCACTATTTATACATGACAATATTTGCATTCGAGTTGTAGAGACATTCGAGTTATAGATGTTCGAGTTATGGAAGCAGAATTGTATATAATTTGCTCTCTAAAACCCTGTTGTACTCTCTTTAGTTCGAGTTATGGTAGTTTGACTGTATTCCAAAAAACTATATACGTATAAGCAAGAAAAGTGAGTTAATGGCAGTGAAAAATTATTTAAATTATTTACAATAATATCTCAAATAGTGTACGTTCCGTGTAGAGTAGATAAATGTTGCAAAATATTTCTTTTTAAATATGTACGATAAGGAGATAAGCAGGGTGGCTTAATTTAATTACAACTTTTGACTGTGTTTCTTATTTGGAATTTAGTTTTATTGAACCAACACAAGAATATGTTAATAAATAATTAAATTGATTGAATTTTCAATATTCAATTTTTTGCAGTTTCCTTTGTAGGAAACTATGGAACAACATTGATATCCTGAATATCATCATCCCAACAATTTAATTTTGAAAATAAAATTAAATGAAATTCTTGAAAATAATAATCTTATATTTGAGTATAGATTTCTTATCAACGAACATGAAAT